GCATGATTCCGTAATTCGGAAAAATGAAACTCTATGTTTCCACGTCATTCACTTCTTCCTTGGACCTGTTATGTTTCCGTTATGATTCCTGAACGGAAATATGACGACACGTTTCCGTTGCATTTCTGTCAACGGAATATTATCGTCGCCTGTTTCCGTTACGTTTCCTTGTACGGATTCAAACTTTTACCGTCAAGTAAAACATATATATATATATATAAAGTGCTGTACAGTTCTTACACCACGTTACCATGAAGACGTGATCGTTCCATTATTGGTATTTCCGTTCAGGAATCATAACGGAAACATAACAGGTCCAAGGAAGAAGTGAATGACGTGGAAACATAGACTCGTTTTGGAGGCATAAAGGTCTCTAAAGAAACGTTTCAAGATTTTATGGCGATCTTGTGAAAAACATGTAGTCCCAGCTAGTTTTGAGGGTTTTGGCAGCTATTTACACAAAAAGTGGGTAAAATCAGCCCATTTTGTTGTGTTTCTGTCGGTTTTTACGCGTTTTTTCCCCAAATTTTACTGAGAACACTGCGTTTTAGCTGGAATAAGTGTTTTCACATGGATTGTATCCCTATTTTGTTAAAGACATCGTGCTTTTGAATGTAAAATAGGCTGATTTTTGCAAAAAAAAAAAAAAAAGACGTGTTTTTCAGTTCGAATTGAGCGCTTTTGTCAACTTTTGCGTAAAATTTGGCAAAAACTCGTGCGTTCTTCCGGATTTTGGTGTTTTTAGATAGATTTCATTGCAATTTTACGAAATACATGTAGTTTCAGCTAGTTTGCAGCGTTTTAGGCTTGAGACCGGCAAGAGTGATGGTAGACATTCTTAGCAGAGATAATTGTGCTAGCAGATATTAAGATTTCACCTGTAAAGACAATAAATTAATTGAACACAAGAAAAAGGAAACTTGATAAAAAAAATTAGAATAATGGCGGGGAGAAAAGAGGGCTGCGCTAAAGATTATGTACTTGTGTTCTTGAAGCTGAAAATTAACAAGGTTCCTGTAAATTAAGTTTACATGATAACCTAACAATTTGTGAAAATCACACAAATCCCAAGCTATATCCAGGGTTTTCTCTTAATAAAATCAACTCTTAAAACAAATTGGGATTTTACCTTGGTCCTTTTTTTTTACTTTTTATGTACATTATTTATGTATAAATAATGCTCCCCTGACTCTCCCCCAAATTTCCAGAACGAATGCAAACTCTTAAGAATGATCAAGCTTTACCTTATTATTAAAAATTTTTACATCTTGAATTATCAAGTTACCACAGAGGATTTCTTGGTACTTTAACCTGTTTAACACCCTAAAAGAAGTGCACATATATACTACACACAATCAGCCCAGTCAAAATGTGCCACAGCCGATAATTTGGCTACCTGCCACAATATAGCTGCCGCTAACTTCACCCTTTTCACACTTCCATTCAAGACAAGGTTCAGCCTCTGCTGCCTATTACTATCACCAGCTTGCCTTCCACTCAAAAACATTTCGACTGAGCTCACACATACATACATGCATACATATGTGGGAGATTAGGTTACATGAGCGAACCTGCACTATTGAAAGAGATCAATTAATTATAATTCAAAGAAACATTGATAAATAAAATAAATCAATAGAAATGACAAAAATCAAACTAACAGCAGACAGTACTCTTTCAGCCTTCTGGACCTGAGCAGTGCAGTGATCTTCAATTAAGTGCTTAATTTGGACATAAAACCAGAACTTGGTATAGCTAAATGTTATTATTTTTCTTTTAATATTCCCACTCCAGCTGATGTATATTATTTGAATTACAAGTCTTATTAGCATGCAAAATCACCTACGGACAAGGCACACACTTTGTACCAAAATAGCTTTGCATCAAGTACATTATCTAGTACATCATTACCATCTTCAGGTATTTCTAATTTACTTGTGAAAATCACACAAATCATAAGCTATATACAGCATACAATCGGCAGCAAATTATTAGAAAGGAATGCAGTAAATTTTAATAAGAATATTACTAAGTAGTTAAATAACAAATAGCCCCGTAAAAATGTGCCCGTTGCTGGGAATTTGGTTCTCAATAAAATTAGCTAAAATAGCCAATCTTGAGTTTTACTGCTCACTCTGGGCTGACAGGGCTGGCAGCTTACAATTTGGCCGCCTACAATGAAGTACCTTCCGCTAACTTCACACTTTTCAGACTGCTTTTCAGGAAGAGGTTTGGCCTCTGCTGCCTATAATTACTAAAGCCAGCTTGTCTACTACTAGAAAACATTTTGACTGGGCTATGCAAGTCTTACTAGCATATAAAAAGCACCTTCAGGTAGATTACAGCAAAGCAGCCTTTGTACCAAATGCTCTGCATTAAGTACATCATTACCCTCTTCAAGTATTTCTAGTTTACTTGTGAAAATCCCACAAATCACAAGGTATATTATTCCAGTTGACAAAGCAATCAAGGGTAATTTTTTCATAATGGATGCAATGATCTTCAGTATCAAGATTATTTGGTACCTAAATAGTAAAATGTTCGAGAGAAGAAATAATCGTAAACATTTTTTCTTTCTCATCAGCATCGACTTCCAAAAATAATGGATAATGACCACCTAAAACAAAGAAGAAATAAATCAAATTTGTGATTTCACAGGGCTTCAATACGAAACAAGTATGCATATATTTTATTTCCTACCACTTACAAGTGGCAGGAATGGCTGAAATGGCCTTCACGTGAACACAACAGAATCCTATGCGTGTATAACCATGTAGAACTATTTATTCGATATCGAAATTACATCCCAAATGTCATGATATTTGACTGAAACTCAGCTTACCCATCTTTCGTTTAGACTTCGAAACTTGCTGCTTTTTACCACCGTTTCAATGTTTTCTTGTTGTTCAAAAGGTGGTAGGGCCATTGCAGACTGTGATTTTTTTTTTTACTTGAGAACCAGATCACAACACCCAAGCCTTTTCACGCTAAAATATTAAACTACTGAGATTTCCTTCGCCGCCGTAAGCCGCCATTTTATCTTTCCCTGAATACCGGTAGTTAGATAACGGCGTAATATGTGACTAACACAGTCTATATACTGTAAGATTTACGCCAGTAATTAACGGCGTAATTTCTTCCAGTCGGTAGTTTTATATGGAAGATTTTACGCCAGTAACTAACGGCGTAATTTCTTCCAGTCGGTGATATATATATATGTAACATTTTACGCCAGTAATATAATTTACTTATATTTTAATTTATTATAATTGGGTTTTATTATAATTGGGTTATAATTGGGACTGGGTTAGTGGCGTAAAATCTTACAGTATATAGACTGTGTTAGTCGCATATTACGCCGTTATATATATTCCCGTTCAGAGCCGGGCTGAAAGGAGGGAACACAAGGATTCTATAGCTGAAATATTAACTTCACTCCATCAGCCAGTTGATTTCACGAGGGAACTCTGCATTCCACGACCACTCAAGCTTTCCAGTCACGTGATAAGCCGCAAGCCGGAAGTGCTAAACGTTTTAAAAATATGTTTCATTGTTATTGATCGCTCCTTGTAGTAGTAATAGTTTGGCTTAACATATTATAGATGACCTTTATGCCACTAGAAGAAAGAGAAATGTTCAGCGAACTGTTGAAGTAAAACCATTCCGTGACTCCTTAAGGACAGGTTGAATGTTGCGTGACAAGTGATAGTATACGTCACGGAATTTGTGTTTAGATTGACTCAATTTCACTGACGTATTTAATAACCACTCAAGATAGGAAACGGGTTTAGTTCTGTGAAATTATTTCCGTTTTGGTACTCATCAAGATCTGCCCATTGTACCAGAGATGAGGTTCACCTCCACCAGCTGTTGTAGTATCTCTCAGATCAGTTAGTCTACAAAACATGCACAAACGTCTGGACCATCCTATTGAGTAAAACGTACCAGATGGCGCTACCCCATGGTGAGAGAACGAAAATTATTCGAGCAACACGAGCATACAAACCCCATTAGGAGGGGTCTGAGTATTCCGTATCCCATTACTTTTTGGCCAAAATATTCCGTATCCCGCTAATTCTTGTGGTTCGTATCCCCACAATGCTAATTACCATGATGACGTCATTGAGCGTGATATGTTTAGGTACCTGATAAAGAAAAATGCATTTTCCTGGGGCGCTTCGTATTTCAAATAGAAATTACGTACAAATAAGACATCATGTTTATCGATGGTATGCTCGTATATGTAACATTCTGTAAAGAATTGCTAAAGGGCTGAGATGACTTCAAAGTAATAGGTAACCGGAAAAGTGGCGCAAAATGGAAAAAGCCGTGGGGGGTAGGGAATCTTTTTTTTAAGTATCCCGTATCTATTTAATTTTCTGCCCAAATATCCCGTATCCCTATATTTTTTACCCAAATATCCTGTATCCCGATTACCCCTAATAGGGCCAGTATAATTACAAACCGAATCGGACGTCGCGAAGTCTTATTGCCAATTAATCATAAAAATGACAATTTCCAAAAAAAATCTTCTAAAATATTGTCATGGTTTATGGGGAAAATTCTCCATTTTGAAGAAAGTCCCAATTTAGGAGCCTGTACACTGTTTTTATGGTGATTGAAACCAAGGTTGTGACTGGTTGATTTAAACTACAACTTTGAATGTGATTAGCTTATTGAACTGTCCGATAACAACTTGGCAAGTGAATAAGTGAAAAACAGGAGTTTTTTAAACCAATCACAATCGAGGAAATTGCTTTTAATGATTACGGTGGATAAATAAAAAAAGGGAAAGGGAAGAGGAAGAAGAAGCTTTACAAGAACGGTTCCTGGCATTTCAAGGATGCAGCAAAGGAATCATGAAAATGGTTCAAAATCTTTCTGATCGAGCCGCCCTGCAAAGGATAGAAAGAGAAGCTCTTTGTCAACAGATGAAGGATCAAGTTGATCCAGACAAGGAAGATTTAATAAAAGCGTTGAATTAAAAACAAGATGAAGAAATGAAAGCTCTGTGGGATGAATTGAACGCAAAGTCAAATGAGATGGCTAAGCAAGTTTCACGGGATGAAATGAGGAGTGGCGAAACGGCTGAGTTGATTGACTAATTAAACAAACCAGAGAAGCGGAAGAGCGGTAAAGAGACGTAGCAGATACTCGAGAGAGAAAACAAGAAGTAGAAAAACCAGGCTTTTGGAAGAAATCACTTGAAGGTGTAAGGAAAATTGTCCCTTTTACACCGTTTGTTTCAAAATACGGAATTTCTTGTGGTCAATCACAATGAAGAAATGTTTGTTGCAATTTGGAAGAAATATCCTTTCATAATTTTTTTCAGACCGCAAATTCCACTTGTCACATGTCCTACCGGCTCCTGTTGAAGTCCTAAATGTAATAACTGTCCTAAATGTAATAAAGTCCTAAATGTAATAACATTTGGTCCTAAATGTAATAAAGTCCTAAATGTAATAACATTTAGTCCTAAATGTAATAAGCCTCTTATGCAATCGTTTAAAAAAACTCCTGCAGTGCATTGTTGTTATGGCGGACATCCACATTGTTATGTTAGTGACAGCTGTTTCTCCAAAAAAACCGCTGACCAGTATACATGTCACATTAGGGGCCCGCTGATATCAATCAGCGTCTTTTTACTTGCTAGACATAAGAAATAGCAGTCGAAGTATGGTCCCCATAGCGGTTTATTGATCGAGTTGAAGAAAATCATTTCCAGCCCAAAGTGGGCTGGTGCTTGACTGGAAGCTCAATAGGATGGAATCGATTGGTACGTAACCATTAAGACTTTTTGAAAAAAAATTTACTACAATTGATGATGAACTAGCATGCTATTGTTGATGTTACCGTTCGTGTTAAAGTCTTTAGAAGTGATGCACCATTTTAGAGCAGTTTGAATGATTTCGCTGTGTCACCGTGTTAATCCAAAAGAAAATTATTATTATCAGTAGCGTTATTGAAATTTTGCACATCAATGTCATTAAGTGTCAATTAATTCTAATGAAGCATTTGAGTTCATTTTTAAGAATGACTATCCTGATTTATTCAATTTTGAACCTGGGGTGTTGCATTTCCAGCCCTCTATGGCTTTACTCCACCTCAGTAATCAGTTCATGTACCATATGACTATAAGTGGAAACTGTTGAGCTTTCTTTTTTATTCATCTATTTATCTATTCATTTTCTCCCCTCACAGCGGGGAGAAGAGGTGAAGACAAAAAATGAAATATAAACTTGAGATCAACTTTAAAATGTATGTTTTCCTAATATTTCGGTTTGGGAACTGATGAACCCGTCATAAGGGGCTAAAGGAAAGAAATAAATGGTTCATTAGACCGCCAACTGATCATGATGTGTTGAATGGTGTAGCTCTATGGTTCAATTTGACTCTTGCGTGGAAAAAAGGCAACATGTCGAGACCTGTGATCGTGAAATGGGATAACATATCATTGGTCAGTCGATATCTTGCTCTGCAAGTCACATTATCATATAGCTAGCAGCGCACGCGGGCAAGATGAAGTGAATCCTGTGTTCTGATTGGCTACCTGAGCGGGCATGATGGGCCCACCCTCGCCCGTTCGGGATCCCCCGTATTGATCTCACGCAAGAAAACTTACAAAGTTCGTAACTTTTGGACAATGTTTTCATATATACATAGAAAAAATAAACGACCCTCTTGGGTTTATCGTGCTGCAAACACAGTTGGCTTTCACTATCGGCTCTCGAAATAAACAGGCCATTCTTGATTCTTATCAAAGCGAAATCTTTTGCTATACAATGAATCCTTTAATGATTAAGCCAAGAGAATATAAACTCTCTTGTATGGTCAAGATTACTGGATATTAGCCTCGTTCTTTTTCTACTTTTTTATGGACCGTGACTTCGTCTCAATCGATAAAAACGCAAACAAAAAAAAAAGAACTCGGCCAATATATAGCCATTTTGACCTCACGTTCGGTCAATAACGCATATGAATATATTTTATGCAAACCCTTACAAATCTGGCAAGGGAAGACAGTACAAAAAATGCCCTTCTGAGCCCAAAATTTGTCTAACGTATAAGTCGGTGGACTTCTTTTTCCTTGTAATTTGGTTCATCAAGTGTTAACTTCAGCACTGAGGACAGAAGTATTTCGTCAAAATCTGATACACTTAAGAGTCGGAGCCAATGATATAGAGAGAGCTATTAGTCAACGTTCTCGTTGCTTCTGCGTCCGTCGATTTGATGCCAAAAGCACGTCAGTATTAGAATAAGGTTTTGTAGCCAATGCTTCTCAACCTACGTCTTTAACAAATAAAAAGCCGCTGATTAATATCAGTGAGCCCGCAATATCCCATAAATATTGGTCAGAGGATTCTTTGGTGCAACAGCTGTCACTTTAACATCTCAATGTTAGCGCAGTTAAACGATTGCATAGGAGGCTTATTACATTTAGGACCGAACGTTATTACATTTAGGGCTTTATTACATTTAGGACCAAATGTTATTACATTTAGGACTTTATTACATTTAGGACAGTTATTACATTTAGGACTTCAACAGCTCCTGCAACTTTTTTGATCTTTGAAAAATTTATTTCACTATAAAAAATTGCGATAAAACATTTCTTAAAAACATTTTAAGATTAAAAAATTGCTAAAAAGCGATGACGTTTCGACGTTGGCTGAACGTCATTATCAAGTCAAAATAAGTAGTTATTTTTGGTCTATAAATACTAAAAAACAATAGCTGATAAAAGATTGTAACGTGAGAAAATATCAAACAAAGAGTTTCGCACGTATAGAGTCCGTCTGAATATTTAAATTGGGCTTAAGTTTCTTGATGAAGAGCATTTCAAATACTAAGCAATCAAATTTGCTCTGGCACTTTCTTAAAATCGTGAATTGGCTTTCTCTCAAAAGGTTGTTATTACCATGAGCTTCTAAAAAATGTCTACCGATTGCCGAATTTTTGTGCTCAGCAATGCGTTGATGAAGGTGTCGGGCTGTATTTTAGAAGCTCATGGTAACAACAACCTTTTGAGAGAAAGCCAATTCACGGTTTTAAGAAAGTGCCAGAGCAAATTTGATTGCTTAGTATTTGAAATGCTCTTCATCAAGAAACTTAAGCCCAATTTAAATATTCAGACGGACTCTATACGTGCGAAACTCTTTGTTTGATATTTTCTCACGTTACAATCTTTTATCAGCTATTGTTTTTTAGTATTTATGTTACATTTATTTATTGTGCTTTCAGAAAAGAGCTAGAAACATGGCTTCAAGAAAAAATCAAAGCATTGCCATCCCTCTTTGATTACCCAACAACTGCCAGTGGAACGCAGCAACTGGAGAATAAATCAAAACCGGAAGACAACGTACGTCACTGTATGTGGTGGAGGAAGCGCTGAAGAAGCTTAAGACTGTGAAAGGTATGTTTTCTGTCCATATCTTCATGGTCATCAGTTTTTACATAACAAGTTTTATTTTTCATATATGTTCAAGCTCTTACTGGGCGCAATAAGAACTGCACACATGTAACCATGAAATAGCTAAGAGAAGCGTCATGGTTAGGGAATGGGGAGGGTGGGGAGACTGATTATCTTCACTGTTCACTAACATGTCTTCGCACGCCTACAAAATTGCTTAAGCGGGGTGGGGGGCGTATTGCTCCTTTTTACTCTATCGACGAAAAACATTCCCACCCATCGAATGTCCTCCGTGAGTGTAAAATTCTGTATCCACACACGTTCAAGGTAGGCATTCGGAAGAATATGCAATGGCACAACAATGAAAAAAAAAAAAAAAAGAAAGAAAGAAAAGAAGATTATTATTAATGGTATAAAAATGGGCAGATTGATATCTGCTTGTGTTCGATTCGGTTTTTAAAGTCAACGTAGTTATCAATTTAGGGACTTACTTTTTCTGGGCACCGTCATATGCTTGTTAACGTACGTTGATCTCGAGCTTTCCAGTTTATCTTGATGCAGTTTTCCTTTTATTTTCAACAATAATCAAGGAGGGTCATGGGTTTTTCTTTTAGCAACTTGAGCAATCATAAACGCGAGTTAAACGCACCACAGATTAGTCACGTTACTTTTCCCTCAATTCGTTATGATGTCCATTTTGGTTTGTGACTGTCAGTCGAAGCGCGTTTCAAAAACTGCTTTTTCGCCTCTAGAACTGCTCTTCTGGGCTGGACTTTGATAGATTCACTTACGATAATAGCATATCTTGCTTCAGTCGCACGTGCATGAATGTATGGGTGTGTCTCTTTTTCTGGCCTTCTTATGGCTATTTGCGTGGTTTTTTATTCTCTGTTTCTTCCTTTATGTATTCTACGAAGGGAAACTAATAACCATCCAAATCACTGTGAATCGACTCGAAAACCACACCGATAAAAAGTCGACTGAATCGAGGATGGCTACATGCCTTTTTCACTTACCTTCAGACATTTCTCCATGTAAATCTTACATTTCTATTGGCTCCTAGTATCATAACGAAGTGGAAGTCGTGTATCAAATTCGGTCTACCTGTGATCACAGCTGATAAATTCCTTAATTTGTATGCCGATAAAATAAGTTGGTATGACTGTTTGAAACATAATTTGAAGGAATGATTTACAACTACGAGAGTTATATCAAAACTGATAAAAACATAATTCATTACACTTCCTATATGTAAATCCCGTGTATGTTGTATCGATTGCCGGTCCATACGGAAAAGGGAAGTCTTATATTTTGAGCGAAGCTTTCAATCAACCTGAGGTGTTCCCTCTCGGGCATCATTTTGATCCGGAAACCGTTGGAATCTGAATGTGGAAAGTGCCACAAAAAATGTGGGTAAGTTCACGTTGATCTGGTAACTAAAATGCTTTATCCCTATCTTGCAGTTGCGTCACTGGCAAAACAATGAAAGAGCTCGAAAGAAAACTTCAATTCCTCGATGTTCTCCGGATAGCTGCAACTGTATCTTGGCAGAGAATGTACCGTGGTCTTATTAGACTCAGAGTGAATTGACGCAGTGATGGGAGAAGGTTTGAATGACAGTCAGATATTTACTTTCATTGTTTTGCTGGCTTCTGTTTTGATCGACAACTCAATGGGGGTTCCCACCAGATATGACCTCAATGGACTGGAGTATCCTTCACCAAGTACATCAGATTCTAGGGATGGAGAAATAAGCGGAGGGGAGAGAAAGTCCATAAATGAGGCATATTTCTACGTCTACTTAAAGGCTTGTATAAGTGAAATACAGGAACGGTATTTCAACGGTTTTAACGCGTATTCTAAGAGAAAATTTCATATGGATGTAAATTTTACCTTAAAAAGGTTCCTGAAAAGCACTTGGAAAACATGTGTAAATGGCTTCGGCTGCGCAAAGTGTTCTTACATGTTTTTTAACTAGTTCTTGAAGCTTATTCGTGAAAACAGATGCATGCACTGTAACTTTGACACGAACGATCCGTTTTTTGATCACAAACCTTCCATTGAGAGTTGATGGAGGAGTAGGGCTTATTTCTCACACAGAGAATGGTAGTCGACCTTACACTGGAAAAACTCTCGTTAAAACAAATTCTCGTCTATCCTCTTCAGTAAGCAAGAGTAAAACTTTAACCCTTTGACAAAAGGATTTTGTGCCCAAAAAGAGTACCAAGCTGAACAAAGAAGAGACAGAAAAGCTATCGTTCGCGATGGATGAAACGAAAACATTTCTTAACATTTTGCAGTTTTATTATGAAGTTGTCCCAACGAATAAGACTTTGCTCCAATGACGGCAGTGTGGGTGCGAGCGGCCCTCAAGAGGACACAGAATTCTTCCACAAGACTTTTCCATTCTTCATTTGGCTTCTCAGGGATGTTACTCAGTCCATTCCAACAGACTGCAGAGACATTAAGGAGTATTTCCTAACAAGGGTAAGGTGACTCATTTTGAAACGTTGAACAGAAATGACAAAAGAATTAATCAAACGCTTCCCTGAAATATTATCTTCTTCAAACTGAAAACATTGCAAACCTCTTTGTCACAGCCGTAGAAATATTGATTATATCATTGTTTTCTCGGAATAGACTCTTAGAGTTTGTTATATGAACAAAATACCCGAATGTTCGAGAACATGGTTTTGTTTCTTAGTTGTTAGGTTTATTGTTTAACGTTTTGGAGATGTACTGGTTTTGGAAATGGAAGAAACTTGTTTTTTATTTTGTAACTATGCATATATCTCTCTGCAAGACGTCTAAATTCAGACGTTCTCTTAACTCTACCAAAAATAAAGACAAAAGCTTTCTTTATTTTTTGCATACAGTAATTGCATAAGTCTGCTCTGTTAATTTATATATTGAATTTGCTTAAAACGTAGTCGTGTTCTATAAACAAAGAGGGACTGATTGATTGGTTTACCTTGATTACAGTGATCACTGATCGCATTGTAATGTGCTCCTTACCCTCGACGATGGGGATCTAAATCTTGTATTGGCTTGTTATATAAACGTTTATATGTAAGGGATGACAGAGGATCTTGGTTTTGTCACAATGAGGTTCACCTGATTACCCCTAAAAAACTCTGTAATAGTCTTGTGACCCTCCCCCCTCCCCCCTCCCCCCTTCATTAGCAATTAATTGGTAGTCAATTGTCCATAGTATCCCCTTCATACTCTGTTGGCAATGACTGATCCCCCCTCCGTTCCCCACTGAAAACCATCTTCCTTCCAGAATCCTTCCCTTCCACCCTAGAAGAAAACGACTGGTTCCTTATTACAACTGCTTTTTAAACCAACCAGGTTTTCAAGGACCAAGGAATGGTACAGGCAGACCACACCCAACAAGTCGCTGAAAGCATTTTGCGTTTTTCCTGGCTTCGAAGCCTTCAAATTGCCACCACCATCTGTAAGTGAAGAGGTCATGAAAAACATCAACAGAAACAAAAGTCAGATCAACAGTGAGTTCTTCTCTGGGATAGAAAAGTGCAAGGTCTTGTTGAAAAGAACTCTTACTCCTAAGAGCTTCAACGACGGAGAACTTGTGACTGGTGAAGGTAAAGGCTACTAGTGCATCTTCGTTTGGCTTTCATCTCCCGTGAGAGAGCAACTCGTAACTTCTCTCAGATTTCTATGTATTTTTCAGACGAAAATTACTAGTTTTGAAGACAAATTTCGAGGGATTAGCTTAATCTCTAGAATCTTAAGTCGCCGCCTACTTCTTGAATTATGGGAGCCACAATCTTATGCCATGTTTTTCAATTTTAGATTATTTTTTACACCGTTTGTCTACTGTATACTTTTCTTATTAAGTATATCCTTAAACTTAAAGACAATTTTCATCCCCCAATGACCCACTCTGTTTCCAGGTTTGACCGCCTTGGTTGAGCTTTACGTGCAGGCCATCAACACTCCGGGAGTGATTCCTAATGTCCATTCAGCTTGGGACACATTTGTAACAGATAAATGTTCTGAAGCAACGCACGAAGCCATGAATGTCTACAGCGCTGTTGTGGTTTCAAAACTGTCCAATCAGCTGCCATGTGACTCCGAAGACATTCGTAAATGTCATGAAACGGCATTTGACCAAGCAATTGGTGAGTTTCAAGCTGAAACAATCGGAATATCCTCCATTACAACCGAGAGGTACCTAAACTAACTGGCGGTAAGGAGTTTTTACAGATTGCTTAAGCATTCCTCATTCAGTACTTTGGAATAAAATGATGCCGACGAACTTTTGCAAACTTCGTCCATTGTTTTCCCAACATTTTTGTGGGGATGAATAAAATTTTCGATATGTGACAGAATTCTAACAGGACAAAATCTTTATGATTTAACTCAAGGTTTCGGATCTTGGTGAAATATCTAAAAGCAGCAGAGTACCTGGTCCGAAATCGAGTGCGGTGAAAAGAATAGGTTGTGCAGAAGCATTTCCAAAGCAATGAAATATCCTTAGTTCTTTTTCCACGAGGCTCAAAACTTTCCTCAAGCTTTGCTAACGCTTCGCGTTACACATTTTCTGATGACTGTTTTTTGTGCACGTTTCCGCGCCAGGTGGAGGCTACTGCTTGTTCATTTCATGGCAGCATCGACCTAACTCCAATCAATAAGTGATAAATATTTAGTAACTGTCTGGTTATACAACCATGAATGCCACAAAATAATAGTTACAGTGCTTCCCAGCATTCATTGTTGGACTTACTGGGGAGAAATGTTCTTAAATTTCAATTTTTTTTTTGTACAAGTTACTTACAGAAACAACCAATAAATGTCCAGTTGCTGTATGGGAACTAACAACAGCACGGAAAGATGAACACTGGTATTCACTGTGAATATAAAAGGTCTATTTCTTTTTTTATTATTTCTCAGTCGTTTGCAGACCGAGAGTATGTCACGTGGCAGACTGAGAATGATCAGTTTACGCGAGAGGCTTGTGACGCTCTCCTGAAGCAACTCAAAAAACAACACTTGGACCCAATCCTCGACCAGCTCCATGGTAAGGAAGGCGCCAAAGTCATGTTCGATGACATTGTAGCAGGTTACAAAAAGATTGAGCAGGACTACAAAGCTCGTGCCACCGGAGCTAAACAAGTTTGTGCTGCTGTGTTCTCCGAGTTTCATCCGGTAAATAGAGTTTTACTTGGAATTAAAAATTCAGACCAAAAATGAGACAAATTAATGAGTTAAAAGGTTTCTAATCTGTGCCTTCCTTTTTTTTCCATGACATTAATAGTTTCACGGACAAAAAGAAAATACCAACCGAATTCAGTTCCTTTAATACAAGTACATTGCGATTCTTGGTCTTAGAAACTATTATGTAGTTACAAGATGATATAACTTCATAATCTCTTGGTAGTTACCACAAAGAAAACCAACAGACAAAGCAACGATGTAAGCGAAAGTTCTACTTTTATCACAGGAACTTATGACAGAAATGCAACAATACTTGGGCGTGCTGAAACAATCAAAGGACTTTGACGAGAATCGAGAAATTGCCGCCAAAGCCTATCAAGAGCAAGAGAAGATAAAACTTGAGGTACTGATGATACAATTTTAATCGACTCATTTATCATATTACTTTTTAACGGGAAAAAATTGAGAATTATAAATGCCGGGAATGGAGAATAGGAAATGAAGAATGAGGAAAAAGGAATTGGGAAGAATTAGGAATGGAAAATGAAATGGGAATTTTTTTGTTTACGTTCTGCGGCTAAATAAAAGGAACGGAAAATAACATCCTTTCTTCAACAAACTTAATCAACTGATTATTAGTAGAACAAAAGCTGATTGAAGTTCATGCTTTCTTTCTCTGTTCTTTGTCAAAAACATTGCTGGATTAATTTAGTTTCCATGGTGAGGATATAGAATTTCATCATCTGCTAGACAAAGCCTGTACTGATGTGACTTTTCGTCCTTATTTAAGAAGGAATACGAACTTTTACAACAAGAAAATCTTCAGCGCCATAAGGAAGTAAGACATTTTGAGTCAATGTCAGTATCTGAGAAACTGCACACCTGCCCCTCCCCTAACTCAACAACAATCATATAATAGCAAGTTAGGGTTAATGTTGGGTCAGGGGAGGGGTAGGTGTGCAGTTGATCAGATTCTGATATTGATTCGACATTTTCACAATCACTATAGAATTCACTCCACGCTTCAAAAATCGTCAAATCTATCATTTGACGATTTCCATTTGTCCAGATCACAAAAAGAGAATAAAAGAACAAAGAGGACCGTTGACTGCTTTTTGTGAGTTTTGCCTTCTCAGACGGAAGCGCTAAACATGCACATCTTTGATTCCAGAAAGCACAGACGCACGAATTTTATGGCGATAAAATATGGTGAAATCCAATTAAAGACGTAGAAAAGTAAGCTTTTTTAAAAAGCGTGAGTACACTCATTCCTGGGAACTAGGTTTTTTGAGTAACATCCGATTTGGTACCAGAGCAGGTGAAATAAAAACAAACAAAAGGCTGACATCTTGTCTGAACGAGTCCTCGTGCCAGGGCCGCCCTCTCTGCCTGCTTATTTTCTCTTGGTTCCATTCCAATGTAATTTTATGATGTGTCAACTTAGATTGATTATTCCTTAATTTTTTTGTTATAAGAATATTACCTCATAATAACTTTACCTTCAAATGTCTCAAAATATATCTTTAGAATGAATAACGCTAGCAAGAATTTATCCCATTAAGTGTTTTCTGTGAAAGATTTTAAATTTCATCAGAAATTCATTCTGAGTGACTGAGAAATTTGATGATTTTAGCACAGAGGTGAACAAGAGTAGATGCCATAGTATTTTTCATCATGACTCTCCTAGAGCTGTCTGACCTGAACTTTTTCCTGTCTGGTAATTAGATGGAAATGCTGCAGCATATCAAACTCTTTCCCCAGCGCGACGAACATTTGTTTTTCTCGGTTCCAGGTGTACGCGTCCACTAACCCTACTTAATACGCATGCTCTCCGTTGCGAATTTTAAAAATGGCGGACAGGTCAAAGAGGGAAATAAAAAAAGCAAAGCGATTTTGCAATAAATACTTAACATATACCCCCGTTAGAAAGGCGAATCCACGACAGAAAGATACAAAACTGTATGATATTGAGATCAGGGAGGTTGACAAAATCAACAAGAGAGGTTGAAAATTCATTACGTAGGCTATAGCACATGCTTCGATGAATGGACACCCTTCAGGGCCGATCGAGGATCTGGATATTTTTCCGTTTGTTCGCAGCGAAAAGCTGTTCATTCCCTCGGAAAACTCTCTAGAGGATAGAAAAGAATCGTTCCATGGCCAACTTGCTCGTGAAATAAAGAAAAAGCTTTGATCTGGACGGCGAGAGGACCCTGATATAAACATAGACCTTAATGTTGACCAAGATATTTTCATGGAAGGTCTTGGGAGTGTTTTGCCCGGCGTTCTTCAAAGAGGGAAGATGGTTTACCAGTTGGAGTCAAATATAGTGCTTGATTCATATCTGGGGCTGAAGTGGGATGAAAGAATTTTAAATGTAGCTGAAGATTTTGCCTATGTAATTCCAGGAACTATTAAGTATTGGCTGGGACAAAGAAGTTTAATCATTGAATACAAGGTCATCGTTGTAGGTGTTCTTAACCCTTTCATAACCTGCTGCCTCCAGGAACTGAATCCTGTTTTTCTTCAGAAACAGTTGTTTGAGGGCATCAACCCCTTTGTGATTTGTGGATCTGAAGAAATCTTTAGAAGCTCTACTATTGTATTTTTCCAAGCCTTGCTGTGTGTAATATACTATGTTCTGATAAAGTGACAGGAACTCAGGAACATGATAACATAGTGCATGCATGTAGGGAGTGACATCTTTTGCTTGGTAAACTTTGAGAAAGTGCTCAAACCATGATTTGATATTTCTTTGCAGTTCAAGAATACCCTCTTCAGATGTAAAATCTAGCTTCAAATCACCAATTATGTCCATAAATTTAACCCAGATCACTTGTATGTATTTGTTTTGACTGCAATGAGGGACAAGCATAGGTCAGAATGTTTATATTCTGAAAGAGTTTCAACTTTTCTGGTTCAGTAAGATCTCTATATTCCAGCTTTTTGCTCTCTTTGTTGATTCTAAAATTAAAAGTGATTCCCATACTTTTGATAAATTCTTCATAACATGCCATGTGTTTATATTTATCCCTTGGGAATCCATCAGAGGTTTTTTTTTTCTCAATAGCATCACTTCTTCTCAGCTCTTATATGAACAAGTTAATCAAAACATCTGAAATCCTCAGAAAAAAATGTAATGTATCCATGACGACATGGTCCATAGATATAAAATCAAATAATGGTTGTGCCTTACAGTTTAATTTCTTTCCAGTGGAAAACCTTGCTATTTTGGTGACAGTTCTAGCACCAAATTTGGGGTCATTAATTGACCATGTTTTGCTTGTGTCCCACTGTTGCTCCCTGGGACACTTGCACCACACACAAGCATAATCCTCAATTTCAAATCTCCACCTAAAAAGTATTCAATTTTATAGGTGCAATTATTTGCACTTATCTCCTTTAAGTTTGACATTTCCATTCAAAGGTCTGTTAGGCTGTCTCTCAGATTATCATATGTCTCTGTAGTTTTTATAACAGCAAGTATATAATTTCCCTTCACACCCATTGCCACATCCTTTTCAAGGAGAATAGTAAAAGTGAAGTTGACAACTGTAAGCCCCTTCCCAATATTTGTGCCATCACCACTAAGCTTGATCTTAATAGTTTCTCCATCATTGATTTCTCCATTCTTCTGAAGCCTAACAATGTGCTCTTGCAAGCTTTCTGCAAATCCTAACTGAACACCTTCAGCATCTCCTGGTGTTGGTTTCAAGTTCCATTCACTGTTTAGCTCATTAATTTGCTTCTTGATGGAATATATATTGGGGAGATCAATAGCCTTAATGGCAATTTCATGCCAGGCCTCATTTGAAATAATGAATTTATCTTTGAGGTAGAGCCACATATTTATGTTATCAATGTCATCATTATTAAGGGCCTCTGGGTCAGACTCTGTAAATGGCAGCTCTCCCTCTCCAACAAGATTAAAAGTTTCATATTGATTAGTCTCAGTGTTGAGGACTTCAATTTTGGTTGCAACAAAATTGTACAGCCCAAGAAAGGAGAGTGTAGTTTGGCACTCCTCCTTCAGTTGGTTTTTAATTCTCTTTTGATGGTGCTTAGAATAGTCATTAAACTTCTTCTTAGCTGGGCCTCTACCTTTTTTCCCATTTGTAATCACTTTTTTGGCCAACTAAATAAATTTTTTATTGTAGAAGGCCCCTTTCTTCTCAGCTTTCTCGAGAGCTTCTCAGGCTTTTTTTATCCACTCGCAATCGCTTTGCCTTCTCCTGTACCAACGATTCTTCTAATTTTATTTTTTCTCCCCTCAACTGGCTGTTCTCATCTTTAAGCTGATGTACATCAACCTCGTTGTAATACACCTTAAATCGATACCGAGGGCCCGCTTCCAAATTGCTAAGAAGTGCATTTAATTGCCACGATTACTAGCTTTCTTGACAGCTTTCTGAAAACAGAATAGTTTCTTTCTGAAGACTTCTGATATATGGCTATTGATTATTATACCTCGTATACCTGATTGCTCAAACATTTTGTTTACAATTATTGAAAGGACCGACTCGTGGTTTTCTCTGAAAACTTCTTTGCTTTGAAATAGTATAGATTAGTAACCTGAAACGAAAAATTAATTAGGGAAGTTTACGAAAAATCCAGCGAACAAGCTTAAAAAGGGCATTTATTTAGACTTCATACTGCGATGAACTTCACAAATCTTACTTGTTTATCTCGTAAGTAAACAATGGCAGATTAATTCCCGAAGTGCTTTCTGAGTTTCCCAATCCCTCTCCTTACTGCTTTCACGCTCACAAAACAGGAAAAAATCAAAAGGAGGAAGATACAGCTGTTTTGAAACGCCATTTGACGAGGGTAAATCTGCTTTTTGTTCGACACATTACATATCAAAACAAAGGAAATTTGTTCCTCTTTTTGATTCTGGCGGTACATTTTTAAATTGCGCTTGCGTAAAAGGGATATCGCCCGAGACGCTTCGCTCGGTTGTGTTTTGAACAAAAACGCCTTGTTAATTTCACGCAACCGCTCGGAGAAAAGGTTAAAACGACGAGGGAAAAACTTTACCTTCAAGTTAGAAAATTAGCGAAATAGGAAGCCACAATATTATAGTTTAATATTTCAGAGGTACATTGAGTGCTTTTTCCGTAGAGAATCCGCACGATGGTAAAATGTTCGAAAATTACACTCGATTTGAGTGGGGCGTTGAAGTGGGCGTGGTCACTATATTCATGTTAAGACTATTTGTACCCCGTGAGTTTGATATGCAAAACAGGAGGAAGAAAAAAAGAGACTCCGTGAACAGATGGAAGCTGAAACAGCGGTCCAACGACAACAAATGGAGAACATGGTAAAGGCGAGAATGATGGAGGTTGAAAAACACAGACGAAATTTCATGCAAGAAAACCAGGTACTCAGCCAACGACTTGCACAAATGCAAAAATCAAATGAAGGCATGGAGAAGACAAAGGAGAGCTTGAGACAACAGCTGCTACTCAATCAGAGCCGACAACGGCAAGTTCAAAAGCCGGGATTCTTTGATAGAGCGCTGCAAATGATACCAGTCTTGGGCGGGGTCGCTAGCACCTTATCAAAGTGTAGCGTTATGTAAAGCCTCTAAAGTTATCCCTTATCATGAACACTGGTCCAATTTTTAAGTAGTGGCATTATATCAGCTTCCAGTTAATTATAATTTGCAACGAGTTAACAACCTTAAAGTTATGTAACACGTTTCCCGCCAATGGATTTGATGTTGATTTTATATATGAAGTGAAAATTGTGCGTTCTCCGTGATACCAATTAGACTGCAAAACAACTTAAATGTGATCTAAAATAAAATAATTTGAAAAAAGAAACCAATCTGCTCTTCTGATAATTTAATAGCTGGCGCAAGCAAAATCCCCTTTCGGGAGAATTAAGCCCGAAACCTACCTAACTATCGTAGGCTGTGTACGAGAAATATCAATAAAGTTTGGGATATCAAGCTTGCTTTGGTGCGCTCTTGCGGAAGAGAAATGGGGGAGGAAGGGGACAAACGACAAAAATAGAGACTGCTTGCAAGGATTTCTGTCTTTTTTTCCGCCTTTTGTGTTTTTCTCGTCGCCAGGTTTAGCACTTGATAGAATTAAATCACAGTATTAAAAAGGAGAGGATGTTTAGATGTCTTTTAATGCCTGCCGATTGAATGAAACAACTTAAGGAACGACGGTAGTTATAGGAAAAAAAACAAACATGCAAACAAAAACAAATCATCAAAAACAATATTAAAAACGGTCGCTCGGTGGGACACGAAAGGCATTATTGTTATACAAGTCAAGCCGACAGATTCTGCGATAAATTATCGAGGAAAAAAGCAAATCAGAACCAAGAAAATTAACCAGTTTTTCCTCTCATACAGGGGCTGCCTATATCGAACTAAAGACTACATACTAGTCACTTGTATTCAAACTCTGCACACAAATATCATTCTATGCGTGGTGCGTTCAGCCGTTAAAGAACTAGACCCTGTGAGCAGGGTAACTGGGATACCTGGATGGTACTGGATCCTTGGAATCAAGTGTAGTGATACTACGGGTGTCGGATTAGTATACTGAAATAGTGAGCTCAAGTCTGGCTAAGGGCATACACCTATTTCAAACATAGGCATGCTATGCATGCAAGAGTTATTTTTGTAGGGTGGGTAGATTACTTGTGGTCTACATTCTTACAAAAGGAAAGAAGAGTATTAACGTGAAAAAGAACGAAAATGTCGAATTACCTCACACACAGGTATTTTGTGGTAGATTATGTGTGTTGTGCGAATAAATGTAACCAAAAATAAACTGTATTGGTGCCACAGATACCTGTTAGTACAAAATGCAGTCAGCAGACCGGATACAAAATATAGACTGGAGACTGCAGAGTGGGTACAAAATGCAGACTGAGAATCTGAAGAGTTTTTACGTCTGGCAAATAATAACATGTCATCTTACAGCTTACCGAGCGTCACGCAATCGCTTTTCCTCGATCAGCCTTCACGATTATTTGCACTATTGTGGAAAATTCCTGGCCCATTTCTTGATGAAAATCGATCATAATATAATTTCAAGCCTTCAATATATTCTTCTTACTTTGTGCGCGAGTTGGTTTGTGTGATGTCTGTACAGATTTTACCAACGTAACAAAAGTAGATGATGTGAATAACAATGATGGTAAAGCAAGCTTAAAACGGCAGAAATCACCAGAAACTACAACGGATACACAATTCGCGACTCAATCCAGTCCAAAATTACCGCTCTATAACATCTTTTAGTGTGGATTGGCCGCGAACAATACGACTTGTGTATGCGTCTGTAAGTATTTCGAGCGTTTGCGCTATAATGCTTCAGGTGATCGTAATCAGAACACGTTGAAATACAAAACGACCGACAAAAGAGTTTTCTAAGCAAAAATCTCGTGTTCGTCATGTGACCCGGACCTGTCCGTGCATGACAACGTCAATCATCATCAAGATAACACGTGATCAGCATGTGAACACCTTCAGCCTCATTGGATCACAGTTAGTTGTCATGGTGTTGAGGGCCCAATGACCACTGGGTACTATTGCGCAATTTTTCCATTTTGTGGCGGAGGAAAAAAAAAAAAAAAAAAAAACGACAAAAAAACAAAGGCATTTTATGACTGGGCTACCACAGGTATCCCAGTAACTATTTCAACGGCTGTGCTTTAGGATCCAGGAAATAGGGATAGAGGTCGTATCTAGGGTCTTTTTCAACCACACATGCCATCTATAACTACAAAGAGACACGGATATTTCACAAAAATCCTTTTAATAAATCAATAAAAGTGAGGCTAAAAAAAGTCACAACGTTGGCTAAAAATATACCAACTAAATTGCTATTTACAATGAAAAATGAGACAAATAAGCATTTAAGCTTGTAACACCAATTATCGACTTAAAATTTTCTGCCCATTAAAGATTTTCCATACATCTCCAATTTCAAGCATCATAAATGTAAAGCATCGAAAAATAAGCCTACTTGAAAGCACAACGCTGCCTGTGAACTGATCCAAGCTAAAGGAATCATCTGTTCCTTTCCTCAAAGTCGGCCTTTTCCGTAAGGAGAAAATAAGCTTGTCAGCTAATTAAAATTAATTGAACTAATTAGTTTGGAGTACTTGAGTTAATTAATTGAATTAATCCATTTAAATAAATCGAGCTTGTCTTCTGCTAGGGTCTCAGCTGCTTGAAAAGATCGAATTATTGGGAGAGTGAAAATTGGAGTTTGGGAAGGAAAGGAAGCTCCTCTCACTCCTTCCAAGACCTCCAATGTCTCACCTCGCACCTTTTTTGACTGTCACCAAAAAAGGAGAGCCTGGCACAGACGACTAAAGGAATCTTTCTTTCTTCGCGTCAAAAAGTCACGTTTGGGATCTATGCTAAACTATTTTACTCTGATATCCTAAGAAATTCGTTTTGCGTTCAGATCGGCGAAAACACTGAGTAACATCCAGGTATTTTACTGCTGAAAAGAACTTGCATTTCCGGTTACAGTATGAGACGTTTCACGCGGGACTAGAAATTTGGGAACTTCAGCAAACCGCCACGACAAACTAAAGGTCTAAATTATGAGCAGAACAATGGCTCAGCACATGCGTTTTAAAACTCAGTTCATTTTTTAGCAGTCCCCTACAAAACAACAACGTGAAATCACTAAAATGTGCGTGACCTGAGGAGGGAAATACCGACGGTAAATTATCTAAGTTTCCAATTTGAACTCGACGCTGCTCTTATACGTTACGCTGAAGTATAGGTGTAGGGCCGTAAGAGACAGTAAGCACGTCCAGCAATTTGCGAAATTCTAAATAAACAGTAGTCTCCATTTGGAGCGAATATATGCACGTTGTTTCTCGTTTCTGTTGCTGTTCGGAAATTATCTGTTCCGAGATGCGAAAAGTTTCCGAGAGTTAAGCTCGAGGAATAATGAGAGCTTCGAGCAACAGATAATGTTCAAGGACAAATATACGAAAATATTTTTTGCGCCAAGTGGAGACTATTGTGTTTATCTTCCTTGAACTATTTTTGCAACGCGCGGGGAAAGTGTTTACGAACAGTTCACCGCTTATTACGTAGGATGTTCACTTTTCAGCGTTCGCTAGTACAACAGTGAGAAAACAAAAACACGTCCTTTCTTCTATAACAACCAACAGCCAACAAAAACCCTACAGGACGAAAGGTTTGAAAATCGGGGAATATCAGATAGGGTTTATTCAAGGATATTCTCCAGCTTTTAGCTGGTGGATATTCGGTCACACAATGCATTTAGACCAATCCCGCGCGCGAGCAAAAATATTTGATGGAGTATATTCTGAAATATCAATCTTCTTACTGCTCGCTTAATCAGTTGCCATGGAATCTTTTCTTCCGTGCGCTCAGTCAACTTCATCATCATCGTCGTCGTCGTCGTCGTCACCACCTTGCTCTTTTCTGAACCTTATTCCTTCTTTTTTCAGCTCAGCTTTTGTACGAAGTCGATTGATCATCGTTCTACCAGCTATTTCACGTACCTATCACAGGACAAAAAAAAAAGGACTCAACATCAACCACAGCACCAATTATGTGAAACTCTCAACTTGCATTTTCACACCAGATAAATATTTAAAGGATCTTGATTCTCCCCACGTATATCGGAATATTAAGTTTCCTTCGCTTGGCAAAATACACCTGTTTCATTAATTCTAAGCAACACTCAAATTACATTTTAGCACACAAGATAAATATTCGTCGCATTCGAATACATTTGTCCATATAGCGAGCAGTGAAAGAGAACATTCTGTCCAATATCTTCGAAATTATTTTTCGCATACAAATCATTCAAATCATTCAATAATTTTCCAACCTTGTACGACTTCATGCAACAAGTTTTATTCCAGTTCACTTCTCCACCAACATAATTGTTACACGATTGTAAGTCAGACAACTCTAAATATTTCTTTTTGATGATCCGGTGTTTTCGCATGAATATTTTTCTTGACTTTCCTTGAAGCATCCTCTCAATGTAACCGTACTTTTCTGACAATACTGTTTCAATCATATACGAGACACTTAGAAAATAATAATGATATTAAAACAACTTAAAAACAACTTAAATGTTCTCACTTGTGCTTCGTTGAACAAAACCTCCTTACCTATCCTCGAATTATTTCATGCTACAGTAGTTTCTAGTTTGCTTAATTTTGAGATTGGAAGGAAGATATACCATTTCCGTATCCTAGAAGCAAAAAGGAACGCCCACACTCCACAGGAAAGACAAGACAGCAACGAGTAACGAAGGCAGGTCCTGTATTCCGGTGATGGCGATGAGAATAAGAATTGTTTATGTTCAGTGATGTCACAGAAACATGGGAAGCTGCGTAAAGTGTACACAGAATCAGCTCCACGGTGTGTGCCAAATTGAAGTTCAGAAATATAACTTTTTTTAGGATTTACACTGACACGAGACCAAGCAGAGACAAACATATAGGATAGTTGGAACAACTTCATTATCAACAATGTCGTTCATTAATTTTTCTTCAAAAGTGAGCTTATGTGACGCGGAAGACCGATGGGCCCTGCAATCATCTGACAGTTACAAAATATGAGCAGTGTAGCCAAAGAAGAAAAGAATCCAACTGATAAATAAGAATAAGGAAACCATTTAAGAGCGAATAAATTATAGCGCAGTGCCGAGTTTGACTAGTGGCCGCGTGTCACGGGTCGCGCCAATGAAGTTTAAGCTTTTAAAATGATTTGTTTCGCTTTTTCGTTTGTTTGCTAGCAGGGCGCTTACGCATAACGCACAGCAATGCTTCATTCTTTAAGCGCTAATTTTACTGGTTGCATAACATAATGTCTTTTCTAGATCTTTCAGCTGAATAAGATGTTAATGGAAACTACGCCTTCAAAAGGCTTCTTCCCTCCACTAGTTTAATTAGTCTGTGCAAGCGCTTTATTTTATTCAGGACGTGGTAATTTTTCTCTTATTTTGGATACAGAATGGAAACAACGAGCCAAAGCGCTCGTCAGTGGTGACCCATCTTAAACACTTTTTCTTGATTTTTCTTCCTCTCCTTTTTCATCTTTCTTCCTTTTTTTTAAGCAATACGAGTACGCAGTTCCTCTCCCCCCCCGAGAAAAAAAAATATCCATCGAATTTCATGCTCGCCTGTCTTCTTTTTCCGATTGCTCCTCGCCATTATCTCCCGGAGTATTTTGCTCTTTATTCTATGTTGGTAAGGGTTTAGCCATATATTTTCATTTAACACACCTAAAAGGTTTTAGAGTGTAAGGTTTGAAATAGTCTCATTTGGACAAATTCACTTTTTATAAAGTTGTTCTTTAATTAAAAAAACAAAAACAAAAAAGGCTTCTATGACAAAGGCAACAGAGGGCTCTACGAGCATCTGACAGTGTTACTCAACATGATCAGTGCAGCTAAAGACAAAAAGAATCCAACTGATAAATAAGAATAATGAAACCATTTAAGTGCAAGTAAATTATAGCACCGTGTCAGTTTCTTTTTGGATGTTAATCATTTCACCGATAACTTTTGGTGAATTATATCCTATTGTCAGCACAAGCCTTTAAAACGTAAATTTATGACAATAGAATCAACATGACTTTCGCTTTTTAAAACACGCATTTGGATTTAACACAAGAAAAAAACCTTTTTGTTTAGTTCTTTCTATTTTGTTGGGTTAACGCTTCCTGTTAATAAAAGTGAATAGATACTGGTACAGATTGTAGGGAACAACGACATCGAATCCAAAGCATGTATGGATTAACAGTAATTTCAGGTCACATAATAAAACCCAAATAAAAGCATCCCTCAATAACAACACAAGCCTAAAAAATTCAAAAATTTACATTGGGCAAAGATGTTTGGTCCGAAAAAAATTCTCACAATTCATCTTTTTTTCTCTCTCTCTTATGTAAGGCATAGCTACAGAAGATTTCTCTAACAAGATTTCGCCAAACCCAAAGGCCAATCGAATGAACTCGAATGAATCAAACTCCCAAAGTTTTCAGTTAGGTTTCAGTAATCAAGCACCTACTGTACTGGAAACTACCGTCTGTAAATAATATCAACGTTTTGAAAGCTAAATTTGTTTCTGTCTTAATTTAATCTTAAACAAATTTTTCTGGAAACCATAGTCAAAGAAGCAATACATGAACCATTAAAGTACTTAACATGGGCTGTTTACGGTCTCCGCCACCCCCAACAAGGGCTCCTGTTGTCACAAAATAGAAATAGTAAATGTCGAAAACAGTGACTGTTTCTGATGTCTACATTCTTTCCCATGCAGACTACTCTGATAAATTGTATCAAAAGCAACTTACTGGAAACAATAACAAGTGATATTCTGAAGAGAACCAAAATAAAAACTAGATACTATCTATCGTAGTACGACTAAGCGAAACAACAACGAGACACTTACATGGTAATCAGTGTGCATTGTAAGTGTTCTTCCACTTAATGCTGAACACAACTCTTTAAGCTCTGTCTTTGTCATTGGAACACTATCCAGGTACAGGAACTCCAGATTAGGAACACTGCTGAGGTGCTGGACCAGATCCCTGACTCCTCTGCCAAGTGGATTGGACCTTAGACAAAGACGGATCAGCTCTGGCACATCCTTTAGTGCACGAGCCAGTGCTGATGCCTCATCTTCACCTATATCTGTATTCTCCAGGTTCAGCTGAGTCAGATTGGGTACACCGTTCAGGTTCTTGGCCAGTTCAATAATCCCGTGACCCAGTGCATTGTCTCCTATATTCAGTACTTCTAACTTGTTTAAGTACTGTAATGAGGCAGCCAGTGCAGCACATTCCTTTTCTCCCATTTGTACATCATCTAACTCTAGAGCAGTCAACTTTGTCATCTGAACACCATCCAGGCACGCGGATGGATCCTCCTTCGGCTTAGGAACACTGCTAAGATGCTGGACCAGATCCCTGACTCCTCTGCCAAGTGGATTGGACCCTAGACTAAGAATGCTCAGCTCTGGTACATCCTTTAGTGCACGAGCCAGTGCTGATGCTTCATCTTCACCTATATTTGTATTCTTCAGGTTCAGCTGAGTCAGATTGGGTACACTGTTCAGGTTCCTGGCCAGGTCAATAATCCCGTGACCCAGTGCATTGTCTCTTATATTCAGTTCTTCTAACTTGTTTAAGTACTGTAATGAGGCAGCCAGTGCAGCACATTCCTTTTCTCCCATTTGTACATCCTGCAACTCTACAACAGTCAACTGTGGCGCGTGATGAAGATTCTCAGCCAAATGACTCACACCGCAGTGTAAGGGGTTCCATGACAAGCAGAGCTCATGCAAGCTTGGAGAGTGGTGCAGTGACTCAGCAATAAAAGCAGCACACTTTGCTGTTAGATTGATATAGCGAAGTTTTAAACTGTGGAGATTGTCAGTAAAATTAATTCTGTAAATCGCGCTCTCAATCGAATTATCTTCCAAGGCATCTGTCTCGCGCCCCCATATTTCAATATTTCGAGGAGCTGTTACTGAAGCCAACAAGTTCTTTAACAGAACAAAATCCTCAACTGTTAGGTTACGTAACTGAACCGCTCTCACCAGTGACAAACAATGTTGTTGTGCCTGGTCAGATCTGTTCTCAGTCAAAGAAAGCGCATTCTTTCCCAGATTATCCACAGGTAGCTGAGAAGAACAAACCGGCCCTGATATCAAGTCAGAAAGCAGTTTAGAGTAAAATACAGCATCTGTTATGCGAAATAGATAGACAAAGTTTCTCTTTTCGCCTTTTTTGAGGAAAAAGTACGCATCGCGTAAATCGACGTATTTTTTTACATCTTCAATTTCTCCAGAGCACGTTAAAACGTCCGCGTTCAAGTCAAACAATATGGATAGAAAATCATCAAAGTTACTCTCCCAATGTGAATGAAATAAATAGTTTGGAAGGCTGGTGGTGTATTTGAAGAAGTGCGTTTTGGCAGCAATAGACGAGTGTTTCCGATCAAGTATTACAACATGGTTAACACATGAGAGAAATGCAGAATACACAGCAAGTCTGTCTGAGGCTGGACAACAAAACAAACAATCGACACAGAGTTCCATAAACTCGTCTTGTTCAAAAGTCAAATCTTCGACAGAAGGTGTCCTAGTGAAGTTATAATTTGTGAGACCTTCTTTCTCTCCGAAAAAATGTAGATGATCAAACACAATGCCGGCAGCTTCTGATGACAACTCACAAACGAATTTTAGAACTTCAGCCATCTTCTTTGATTTTTCAAACGTATCCATTCCTGACAGGCAGGTAACAGTTTCATTCTTCTTAACTTTCACTTCTTGAACGATGAACCAGGCGGCGAGAAACTCCTGAACGGACTTGTGAAGAAAATACACGATCTTCTCACGCTTCGAGGCGGAACGTTTGGAAACTTGGAAAAAACCGACATGAATAAGCTTCTTGAAGAGATCACCACACGGAAATTTACTGAAGTTAAAAGAAAGGCAGCCCTCCAAAAGAGCATCAAAGGCAAGTTTTCCTATTTTGGAAAGTTCTTCTTGATATTTATCTATGCTTTTATCTGTTGCGACGTTTTCTGGGCCTTTAGTAGCCATATGATCCAAGAGAGTCTGAATAAATCCTACGTAAATTTCTGCACGAGATGTTGGTGATTAATGCTTTTTCTCTTTCCACAGAAGACACAACATCAACAATAATAGCGGAATCTCTGCCATCTCCATGAGGTCATGCTTCTCCAGGTATTCAAGTAGCCCTTTAACGTCCTCCTCATCAGGAAGAATCTTACTTGCAAACTGTTTCTTCTGTTTCAAACTATCGAACCCGTTAAGTTCAAACTGAGCGTGACTTGGAACTCTAAGCTCATCCTCATTCACTGGCCGCGTTGTGATAATTACACAACAGAGTCTCAGTTGATCGCCTCTCCAAATCTGATGAATTAGGGATGATGTTCCACCGCTGTACTCATCATATCCATCCAAAATGAGTAGCACTTTCTCCTGGTTCTGACGGACATATTCATACAAGTTATTGACTGCCTTCGGTTCATCAGCAGACAACAGTTTAGCGGTTTCCAACATGGCACAGACGTCCCGACTATGACAAACGTCTCGTAACCTGATTAACAGTAAAAGAGCAAACTTTTTTAGGATCTCCTTATTGCCATTTGCCCAATCCACAGCTACTTTTTGAGTGAAAGTAGACTTTCCTATTCCAGGTCTTCCGTACACCAGAATTCGTCTACGGATGGGATGATGTTTGTCACCTTCAAATACTTCACTGCTGCCTCCCAGCCTTTTTTTCGTTGTCCCGTGAGGTTTCCTGTGGTCTTGTAAAAACGTTAACTGTATGTAAATGTCATTAATGTGTACCGTATCGTCTGGGTCCCATGGTGTTATTTTCACTTGACACATGGTGTTGTAAAACGTCGTCAACTGTGTCTGGCACCATTCCAAAAATTCCGTTACAGACGAGTCTGTAGACAAAAAGCAAACAGCTTGTTGAAAATTCTCTACCTCCCACATCGAAGAGAACATTACTCGAGCAGGGTTTTTAGACAGTGTGGAGAATATTTCTCGCCAACTTTAGTTTGTAATTTTGACAACGTCACTCTTTAATTCCGAAGGTAAATATTCACATTTTCACTATTTCGTCACTACGGTTTTTTTTTTTTTTGATTTGTGCCTAATTCTCGAGTACAGTCTCCGATCCCCCCGTCAAGGGGAGAAGCGCGGGCTCATCTCACGAACAGCGGCCGGTAATCGAGGCTATTGTTTGTTACACTACACACAAATCTTTAAAAATATATTGATTTGTTCTGAATATATTTGTTTGTTCTTATTATTAAGACGAACAAAAAGGGAAATCTCGAATATTGTAGTACCAATGAGTTTCAAAAGCTAATATTTCAAGCGTTAGCCCTTCGTTGGACTGATTGGGTTGTGTGTGGTTTATAAAATGGGGGTTGGGCTAAAAGGAGGGGAGGGGTAAGGCGGGAGATTCTATGTGCCTTATGAGTAGGTTGCAGCCGAGCCTTCCCTCTCTCTCCAATGTAATAACCTCTTGAAGATTTTTCAGACTATTCCCTATTTTCATTGTCAAACGCCGTTAATCCTGCTTCCACAATTTTGAAAGGACGCCCAACTGTCTTCCATTTTTCGAGTTTCTGCGAAAGCCTCACTAAATCTTCGTCGCTGGGAACTCGAATCATCGCCGTGTAAACGGATTTGGTGACCTGCCATTTATATGTCTACTTTGCAATCGAGCGAAAAGCTCTAAAAAACTTTTTTCCATACAATAAGCAACTTGGGTAAGGCCACTCTAAATCTTCGTCACTAGGAACTCCTTGCTTGACAACAAAAATAAAGACATCACAGCAAAGCATCAAGATAAGGGGATAGCGAGTAGTACGTATTGCATCTAT